GCAGCAGCAGCAACCCAGACTGACAGCAGCTCATTGGCTAATTTGTATCACGTGCAGCCTGGTGCAGGAATGATTAACTCAAATTTAATGCTTTTTAATGCAAATTTAATGCTCTTAGAAATTATTTTAATGCCACCAACAGGTACCTGTCGACAGGCTGCAGCCATGTCCCAAATTCCTCGTTTTCCGGCCACATTTGTTGAAATTTTAATTTCCCCCCATTCTCTAGCTTTTGCTCTTAACTCAAGCTTCTTTTCTGAACAGACAGCTATGTGATCAACCGGAAGCAGTTCCACGCAAATATATGGTGATATAATATGTCTGACAAAATTGTTTTTATAAAAAAAAAATTAATAAAGCATTTTTAATGCCATAATAACACATTTAATGAATTTTAATGCCAATCAAGGCCTTAATTTAAAAATATAATTTAATGACTTTTAAAGACCCGCGGAAACCCTGTGAAAATAGACACTGCCTTTGGACAACATGCTTTAATTTATAAATATTTTTTATCAGGTTGGGTCAGTATTAAACAGCAGGTGGATCCGGACCGCGGTCTGCTAATCCGTGACCTCTGGTATAGAAGATGTGCATCATGTTTTTTCAAAGTCATATCTCTATACCAGTCTTTTGTCCAGGTGAATATCGAGGTATTCATACTCCTCCATCCTTTCCACGTCTTCTCCCATGATGATGGTAATAGTGTTGGACTTGTTCCTCTTTCTCTTGAAATCTAAAATGTCCTTTGTTTCATTAAGGATCGGATAATTGTATTGAAACCCGTCCACAAAGCAGTCCATCAACTTCCTGTACTGAGCTTCTTGTCTATCTCTGATGGACTCAACGTCAGCAGATTCTTTTGAGAATTTCCGCAGATGGCAGAGCTCTTGTCTTGCACTGAAAGTGCCATCCCCTGCGATGCTCCTGTGCTGCTAATTACCTGGTTGGACAGTTGACCCTTCAGTCTGACAAGTCGTGGTCTGTCAGCTTTGATCCAGGAGATTGTTTTTTCCTCCACCTGGGTCTCCCAGAGTTTCTGACAAGGCCTATTAGACTGAATTATGGTAAATACACAGGAGAAATCAAGGAACATAATCCTCACAGCGTTGTCTGCTTTTTCTAAACGACAGTGGGTTTGTTGAAGTAGGTGTATGATGGCACCTTTAACTTCGACTTGATGGTAATACAGGGGGTCCTGATAGTCTAGCAGCATGTTTGGTTGCTTAGTTGAACCAACAGAAGTCTTTTGAGGACCTTCTTCAGGTGAGATTTCAGAGCAACAAGTCTATAGTAATTGAGTACTGATTGAGTTTCCTTTGGTAGCAGAAAAAGGCAGAAATTCTTCCATATAACTGTCTCCTCAGCCAGGCTAAGGTTGAAGAGACGCTCTAGAATGCCACAGATTTTGTATTTTCTATTTTAATTTCTTGGTCAACACAAGTTCCATGGGTTAGTTAACTTCATCGCACAACTTAATTCATTGAATACGTTTTGTTAACCTCTTAACACCCACCGGGTCGTTGGCGACCCAGTGGGTGTTAACTGGGGGTAATAATTAAGAATGCATAAAATTCCACGGGAAAATTTTTTTACCAGCAGGTGGAGCCATTGCGCGCAGCTCCAAGCTGACACCAAGTTCCGAATCCCACAGCTCTAGAACTGTTATAGCTAGAGGTCTGAAATTTTCTGCATTTGCAGTTGACATGATGTGGAACAAATATAGTATAATAAGACCTGCCCTTTCTCAAGAATATCTTTATTACTGCTGTTCAAAAAGAGCATTTCCAAGAATTTCCAAGAAAAAACAACTTTGAGTCATGTTTGAACTGATGCAGGTTGGTCTGTGTTCTACTCACCCAATTTTAATTTATATATTAGGAAACTAGAGGATGTTAGCTTTCAAATAATGTATTGCACATGCAATTTGGGCTTACAGTTCCTACGTTATTTGCCTTTCCATTTGGGTATGCAAAATAGGCGAGGATTACCCAAAATGAGGTGGATGTTAAGAGGTTAAAATCTTTATACAGGATGATTACTTGGGTTGACCCTTAGATCTGCTACAAAATTAATTTCCATTTGTTTTCTTCCTCAATGTGCTTTTACAAGCATCGCCATTATGGAATCAATTATTAGGAATCAATTATGTTTTGTAGTTTCTTGTTTTTTACGTGCATTGGGAAAAAAGCTGCGGTGAGGAGTTAGTGGAGATGAATCCAACTGTTCATATCTGCTCTAAATATGATTGTGACTTCTTTTTTGGGGAGGAGTGGTGAAATTAGGGGTAGACTTGTCAGATTTCAGCAGAAATGTAAGTTTATCTTTATCATTTTTTCTTTTACGTTTTCCAAATATAACATCAAGAAATATCAATGTTATTTAGAATAATTATTGCTCCAACTACATGGCTTAAGCTGGGCATACACTCTACGACTTTTTTCAATCGCACGCAGCTACAGCTCACACTGTACAGGGTTGCAGGGTTTCATCGTACAGTGTGAGTTCACATCTCATGATGTATGTTCTCACACTGTGTGGCCCGACACGGTCTACCTGCTCACACTGTATGTGTAAAAACCACGTCGTGAGATGGCGCTACTCCGACTTTATCCGGAGGCCAGACAAGTAGAAGAGGAATATGAAGCTCACTAGAGCGAAATGCGCTGCCTTGACAATTTGTGCAATTTTGTGCTTAAAGCCCTAAAAGAAAAGGCGACAACATATTTGAACAAAGACATGGCTAAGCAAGCGTGGCTACTATGGTCTGTCAATTTTACAGAAAGAACTCCATTTCAGTCGCACCTCCACCATGTTTCTGTGTTTTCGTCTGAGAGGAAGAGGAAGAAGGGTCCTTGTTTGCCTACTGAGCGATTTGCTAACGGCCGACTTAATTTCATACATGTTTGATTTTCTCCCAACCTCACGAATCCAGATCGGGAGTTGGTCGTGAGAGGGTGATCGCCCCTCGTTACCCCCTGTACACCACACGATGCACAATCAGGCTGAAAGTCGGCCCGATGGAAAAATTCTCACAGGACTGGAGAATCGGTCCGAAAACAATAAAAAATCATACAGTATAAGCCAAGTTTTAGAACCTATTCAGAACCAAACCAGTTTGCCAATCCTACCATTTGTGCATTCTAGATCATCTAAAATATACCTACAAATTGCATCAAAAAAAAAAGTTGTATGTATATATATATATATATATATATATATATATATATATATATATATATATATATATATAACTTATCGGCAATTATTTGGAATCCTTGAAGAACAGGCCTTTATAGTACTAAAAAAAATAAATGAATGAAGTGGCAATTTGACCAAGGGTGAAAATATCCCATCACAACTTCTTTCAAACAGTAGTAGACTAACTTTCCTTTGCTTTCCAACACCAAGTCTCCATTGTGGTTGCACTTACAGGTAAAAGCCATTAGCTATGGCATTACTGGCTTTGTTTTATTCTCATCCTGAAGTAAAACAATAAAGAGCAGCCACTGAAACCCAGCACAACAATTTAACAAATCTAAATCGATGCCAGGAAGACCATAAAAGTGCGATGGAGGGTGGTTGGGGTGGGACCAATTAGCCCACTGTCCAATGATACATTGGCCATACTCTCCGCTGCCATGCTGACTGCAATTTATTGCCTGCTACAGGGACGCATCACAAATATGTAATATAATCCATCTCATTGAGGTTGAGTGGAGCTGCTTTATCTCTACCAGAGAGTTATGTGAGGTCATAGCCTTGTGCGGGGGTTAACATAAACAAGAATCAACATCAAACTAGGAGGCTGTGGAGATCAGAGACAAGACTCTAGTGTCAGAAAAAGCTTGGTTTACCAACTTAGGTTTACGGTTTGTAAAACATTACTGAATGCAGTTTTACAAAAATCTATTTAGCTGAGGCAAATAAGGATATTCTATGCCATAAGGCGGCATCATGTGGGCTTAAAACTATTTGCATTTAATTGTTGTAAGAACTTCCTCTACCTTTATGTAAAAGTAGCCCTAAACAGCCAAAAATATCAATAACTTGCCAAATACTGTAGCTACACCCTGTTTTCTCTTAGAGTAAAAAAAAAACAAAACAAAGGATATCGACAGGGTGAAACTAAATTTAGCCCTGAAACTCAGCGGGCGAAATATCTCAGCAGTGCAACAAGGGGATTTTTGTGGCAGTTAGACAGGTTATGCTAAAATTTTGTAAAATGATCAGCCTTTATTTTCACCCTGCTGTCAGAGAAAATTAGTTAATGTTTTTCAAATCATCATGAACAACATGACCACTGTAGAATAAAAGCAAGAAGGTGCCAAAAGCCTTAAATCATATATTTTAGTTTATCACAATTCAACAGCTGTGTGAAAGAATGAAAGTAGACTGCATTCAATCTGTTTTTACTCTCAAAAAAGATTGATGACTGACCAGGAAAACATAATTGTCATACTTTAGACAAAGCACCATTTTCAGAATTCTTCATCCTGGGATCTAGTCAAAAGCACAAGGAGGAAAATGGAAAACACCTTAATACGAGCTTCCCAGAGAGGCTTTAAAGAGATGGACAGAAGACTGACAGCTCCAAGTACTACTAAAATACAAAAAGAGTAAAAGGTTTTTATTCAGGCTTTCTTTTACTAAAAATCCTTCTTAATCCTTATAAGACACATGGACACGCATACCTTTCATTTTTCTTTCTGCTTGAGTTGGTATTAAAATATGCCTGACACACAGCTGCAGGGTTTATTTTAAGCCTGCATTGGAAACGTACAACTTTCAAATCGAGATGACAGTTCCTCTATCAGTGTGCGCCGTGGCGAAAACCCTGCAGCGTAGTGTTTGTGTGACCCACCTAGAACAGTGACGGTCGCCCGAGCCGTACGAACAGGCATGGTGAAGATGGAGCAGGTGTATTCGCCCTCGTCAGACAGCTGCACATCAGAAATTGTGATGACAAGCTCAGTGGGAGTCGAGCGAAGCAGCTGGATGCGGTTATCTCTCAGGGCTGAGAACAAAGAGGAACAAGACATCAATAATTAGAAATGTGCTTTATGAATTTTTAAGGAATATCTAAGAGCTGTTATGTAAGCATATCATTTTTGGCTTCTTTCACATTACTTCAATCTGTAGATCTGTAGCTGTTTTTGATGGCAAAAATATGAGACACATTGCTTTTTTATTTGTCTAGAGCAGCAGTTTTCATTACACAGGTTAAGAAGAGTTCAAAGGAAACCAAAACAGTTAAGACTGAACAACCTTTTAAGAAGAAACATGATGTGAACCAGAACAGTGAGCCTTGTAGCTCTTTTAAACACCCGAGAGAGTTTGCTGACCTGACTCCCCCTGGACTGATTCCACAGCTTTGGACTCAAGTCAGCAAATACACAAAGTCCCCCTATTTCTCAGTTTAGTCAGACAGGACCATGTCGAAGAACTTGTTTAGACTTTTTTTTTTTTTTTTAGATTTTTAATCAGTTCTTTATGAGTTATTGTTACATATCCATTCATATCTGTATTTCATTGCACAATCCCATTTTAAAAAAAATACAGCGTTAAAATCAGAGCTAAAAGGATTTTGATTCCAATAATCTCTTTGCATCTTATTTTTTGCTGCAGGTCTTCTGCTTGCTTGATTTAGTTTAAAAGATTAGACCCTTTCATACTGTAGCATATGCAATTTAAACTATGGCCCTAAAAGTTTTTCCTATATTTTATTTTACCAGCCGGAAACATATTTTTTGCATATATGTCACTGTCAATGAATTTACACAAGTGCCATTTGCAAGATATACTCAGTCCATAGTTCTGAATATTTTAATCAGTGATTGGTTTGGAAACATAAAATGTTGATTAATCAACTAATACTTATTAGCCACACTGGTTCACTGAACTTTTTACAAATATTCAGTCTAAATGGAGTGGGAATACTCTAATATTTTATATATCATAGTGACTCGGAAGCTGCATTTTATTTTTGTTTAGACCCTTTCCGGCTGCATGATATCAGGCCTGATCTGCAAAGATATAAAATAAGAGGGGACTAAACTCCACATCCATCCATCCATCCATCCATTATCTGACACACTTGTCCCAAGTGGGGTCACGAGGGGTGCTGGTGCCTATCTCCAGCAGTCAATGGGTGAGAGGCGGGGTACACCCTGGACAGGGTGCCAGTACATCACAGGGCAACACAGAGACAAACCACCATTCACACACACACCTAAGGACAATTTAGAGAAGCCCATTAACCTAACAGTCATGTTTTTGGACTGTGGGAGGAAGCCGGAGTACCTGGAGAGAACCCACGCATGCTCAGGGAGAACATACAAAATCCCTGCAGAAAGACCCCGGGCTGGGAATCAAACCCAGAACCTTCTTGCTGCAAGGCAGCAATGCTACCCACTCTGACACTGAGCAGCCCACTAAACTGCACAATTGCATTTATTTTTTAAATTATGCTCATTAACTGGCCGTCTTGCGGGTGATCTTGAAAAACTGCTAAGCAAATGTTAAGACATGCAAACCAGTTTGGTTCCATCCATTAACATTAGCAGATTTTGTGAACTACGGGCAGCATTTCAGATGCTCTATAAACATTATTTTACATTTTCATTTTTTTTTTTTATTATTATTATCCTTATAACCTCCATCTCAATGGTTTTAAACACTCAGAATGTGCCATTAATACTGAATTTCTTTAGCTTTTTTTTTTTTTTTTACATTAAAATTAAACACTTTTATTTTGGTGGGAGTTGAAAACAATGCTGTATAGTTCTATTTTTTTTCTAAAGACATTCAAATGAACAAAGAAAATATATAATATATATGGTAAACGTATGAAAAAATACTTAATAATAATAAATAAAAACTATGTTTTTGATAACACTCAAGGTATGGGTAAAAGAGAACAGAGAGAAGAAAACAGTGAAGAGTTCTGAAATGATAAAAGGTTGAAAGAAAAGGAAAAATACATATGGAAACATGAGGTTTCAAAGAGTGAAAAACTGGAACTGGCAGAAGGATGAGGAGGAAAAAAGAACTCACCTAAGGTAAGAAAGATGATGTAAAACCAGAGGATAAAAACTAGTAACAGGAAGGAAGGATTAAGGATATACTGTATGAAATGGTAATAAGGATGAGATTTGAAGGGAGGTGGTAAAAAAAAAAAAAAAGCACGGAAGGCGTAAAATTCAGGAGGAGGAAAGATACAAGCTGGAGGAAGGAAGGAAACAAGCAAGCCTGGTATCCAGCGATGATGATAACTGCTAAAAGGAAAGAATGCAAAAGGATGCACAAAATTTGGATCCTAAGTGAATGACATAAGGGAGGAAAAAAAGAGTAGAAACAGAGTGGCTGAGGTGTTTAGAGCATTAAAATGATGTAAGAGTGGAGGATGAGTGATCTAGATGAGGTAAGAGCAGCAAAAAATAGCACAGATGTGTGCCCCTGCAAAGCATGGGAAGACAAAAAGACTGAGAAAAGATGCAAATTGAGAATGAGAGACCAGGGAAAGTGCGTGAGAGCAAACAGAGAGAAAAAAATCCAGAGGAAACATAAATAGCAAGGAGGATAAGGAAAAAACCACGAGGGATGGGTGGTGGCGGCGTAGGGAACAAATGAAAGACATAAATGGCTTTGTCATCAATAACATCCTGCCATGAAAGAGAAAAAGAACATAAGCTACAGAGATAGATGATGATGAAATGCTACGAAATAACATCTCGTTTCCGTGATAGCGTTGACCTCTGCTGTATTTGGTTTGTGTGAATGCTGCCTGTCTTCTTATCCGCTCACCCTGTCTGCCTCTATCTACAGAAGATGTCTTCTGCTCTGACCTGCTGCCTCTGTGAAGCTACAGTTCATACATCTACAGAGTCCTACTTAAAACATTCTCAAAATAATGCCTGGCTGAGCGGAAGCCCGGCTGCAAGAGAGCAGGCAGAAAGTAATGTCATAAATATTGCACCCCATTTAAAGTTATCATGCAATAACTTTTATAGCATCAACAAAGATTTGCACTTAACAGACTAAATGTGTCAGATGGCTTTATTCAATATTTCATGGATAAAATAAAGATGGTATCTTGGGGTTATGTGATATTTTCTTTTTATTTGTGGAGGGAAAAAAGCCCATTGTCCATACAAAAGTTAGCCAAACGGACTTTCCTCCTCAACATGAAACACATAAAGTCAGTGAATCATTAAAAGAAGTATTAGACTCTCAAGAAAACACCTTTAAGAAGGGAAAGGAGTCTAACATTATTATTTTTGACAGAGGATGACAGGACATGTGGGAATTTACAGAAATAATATATTTTTAAACTGTTAATTAAAAAAAACAAATAACAGTTTATCTTTATCTCAAATTGGAGAAATTTACCTCTGCATTTAACCCATCCCCTTGGGGAGCAGTGGGCTGCCATTGTATGGCACCCAGGGAGCAGTGTGGGGTTAAGGGTCTTGCTCAGAGAGCCAGAGCGGTAGTCTGTGGGGCTCGAACTCAGATCCTCAGGATTCCAAGCTATATGCCCTAACCACTAGGCCGCAACTCCCCACTAAATTCATCTCTGCATTTAAACCCATCCGCTTTGGGAGCAGTGGGCTGCCATTGTATGGCACCCGGGGAGCAGTGTGGGGTTAAGGGTCTTGCTCAGAGAGCCAGAGCGGTAGTCTGTGGGGCTCGAACTCATATCCTCAGGATTCCAAGCTATATGCCCTAACCACTAGGCCGCAACTCCCCACTAAATTTATCTCTGCATTTAAACCCATCCGCTTTGGGAGCAGTGGGCTGCCATTGTATGGCACCCGGGGAGCAGTGTGGGGTTAAGGGTTTTGCTCAGGAACCCAGAGTGGAGGCTGTCGGGATTGAACCGGGTACTTGCAACCTTTTTAAAGAACAAGCACACTGCTCTAACCACTAGGCTAACACTCCCAAATTTAAAATCTTTTATGTTGTGATCAACTCCCATCAAGACTCTTAGATAAATTGTTATGCCCCCATCCATTTTCCCCTCACGCTTAGCCCTGCTGGGGTCACAGGGATGCTGTCTACGGCAGGGTACACCCTGGACAGGTCGATAGTCCATTGCAGGGCAACACAGAGACAAACAACCATTCACTCACACCTAAGGAGAATTTAGAGAAGCCTATTAACCTAGCAGTCATGTTTTTGGACTGTGGGAGGAAGCCGGTGTACCCAGAGAGACCCATGCATGCTCAGGGAGAACATGCAAACTCCAAGTAGAAAGACCCTGGGCTGTAAATCGAACCTGGAACCTTCATGTGGAAGGCAGTAGTGCTACCCACTGCACCCCTGAGCAGCCCATAGATTGTTATTGGCTTTATGAAAAAAAATATAGAACTAACTTTAATTGGGTCTACTAATTATTTCTTAATGTAAAAATGTCTTATTGTTTAGATCCACATCATTTAACTAATTATCCTGGTCTCCTCTACCTGCGTGATTCACCGGCATCATAACCCCCCTGGGTTTCTGTTGTTATTAGTTTTTATGTGCCACCTTAAGATCAACAGTGGTCTCCCTCTTGCCTTCGCTTTGTTAACTTCTTTCCACAACTTTTTGTTTCCCTGTGGTATCAATTTAGCGAGACAACATGTCCTTCAACTGCTGGTCAGTAAGATGGATGAGGATCCAACTTTCTTTTACCAATAGTTCAGTGAAATCTGAGAGAAACTAAAATAAACATCTCCAAAACTCATTCTTAGAAAACTTAAATTAAAAATAATGACTTTAGGTCATCTAGTTTCCATAGCAACCTTAACACACCATCTACATGCCCACTGATCATTAGGAAGGCAGGATTAGAAAAATGTACAATAATAAATATGAATGTATGGAGTTTGCTGAATGTTACAGGAACTTTTAATTGAATAATAACCTTCAATCAAAAAGACTATATTAAGGTTTTGGGCTGGAAACACACTAGGTGAGAATCTTTGAAAAAGCACCTTGTGTCCCTGTTAAAAATGAAGGATCTGTGATGAT